GAAACATGCAGAGGCTTTTTAGGTCGGATACAATCACTTCTATCTGAACCACTTCTCTTGCCCGCTTCCATCACTGCAACACCTGTTGACCTGATAACTGCTCCATATCTGGCAAACCGAGGGGCATCCAAAACGGCCGTGTGGGGGTCACCTTAAAACCGCCTACCTTCTCTTGGTCCAAACAAATCCAGATCATTCAGACCAGAATCTAAAGTTAGAAGTAGGACATACTGGCTGCTGCATTGTTGTCAGAGAAGCCAGCAGAGTTTTAAATTTGATGCGAGCAGTAACTGGGAGCCAGTGGAGGGAGCTGTGACATGTGCTGTTTTAGGAGGTTGAAGACGAGGTTGATAGTGCATGTAGGAAGACCTGCCATCATACATTTTTATCTGTGAAAAGTCCAAACAGGTTTTACGGTCTGGATTTCTCATGCAAGAAAATCGACTTAAATCCTGAAAGTATTAAAATATCACCAAACTATCAGGACACCAGGGACCTTTAGAGTCTGACCTGTCCTGGCTTCTTCTCTTTCAGCTCTCGATGCCCTTTGAGCTCCTGAAATATTGATCCTCAAACATACGAGGCGGTCCGATCAGATTCTGGACGATGCGTCCGAGCACAGACGGGTAAATAAATAATCACAGATCCTTTCACATCAAAGTCTGTAATATCTCATCTAACATCCTTTATGTGTCTCTGCTCAGGAGAAGCCGGGGATACTGGTGGCTCCTCTGACCGTCATGAATCAGTTCCTCGCTACGCGGGGAATAAAATCCAGTCGGAGAGAAGAAGCTGCTCAGAGACGTTTTTAAAGCCGGAGATGTTTTATTTTAACACCGGAGACCTGCTGTTCACCGACCACAGAGAGTTCCTGTACTTCAGCGACCGCGTCGGTGACACGTTCAGGTACATTCATTTCAGAATACATCTTTAAGTATTAGTATGCAGGTATGTGGCGCTTAGAAAACTCAAATCTTAGCATGTGAGGATGAGTCACCTTATGTCTGTGACTCACTGAAAAGATTCAAGAAACTTAAAATAAAGTGTTCGATGCAGATGACCGTCAGTGCAGAAGAAAATGTGGTGTGCGAGGTCATGCATGATGGATATGGGGCGCTGGTAGCCTCGACCTAGAGTTAGTGTGAGCGCCCCATGTACAGAGGGCTGTGCTCCTCCAAGTGGGCCGCACAGGTTCAAATCCGACCTCGTTAACTTGTTGTAAATGTATTTATCTTTGTGTTTCCTGCAGGTGGAAAGGAGAAAACGTTTCCACCACTGAGGTGTCCGAGGTTTTAGGAGTTCTTGATTTCATCCAGGAGGCAAACGTCTACGGAGTCTCAATCACAGGTATGTGATTTTACTGCATCATATACAGCGATCAGAGTCTGATCTGTTCTAGGTTTTAGACTTCATTGATCTGGTTTAAAGTTGTGCTGGACTCTACAAGGACAAGATACTTCAGGTTTAATTAAATAATCTAATTTAGATATACTAATTAAAACAAAAACACTTAGTATTACTTTTGTTTAAATATCTCGCCCCTCTCTCTCTCTCTCTCTCTCTCTCTCTCTCTCTCTCTCTATCTCTGTCTCTCTCTCTCTCTCTCCCCCCCTCCCCCCCTCTCTCTCTCTCTCCCTCTCTCCCTCTCTCACTCTCTCTCTCTCTCCCCCTCTCTCTCCCCCCGCGCTCTCTCTCTCTCTCTCTCTCTCTCTCTCTCTGTGTTCAGGATATGAAGGTCGAGCAGGAATGGCCGCCGTCGTCCTCAAACCGGATCAGAAACTAGACGGAACAAAAATTTATAACCATTTAGTTCAAACTCTCCCTGCGTACTCCTGGCCGTGGTTCCTCAGAGTCCAGGTGAGTCATGAAATAATAACCTGTGGTTTGTTTATTGATTTAAAGATTAAAGAAGTGTGTGTGTGTGTGTGTGTGTGTGTGTGTGTGTGTGTGTGTGTGTGTGTGTGTGTGTGTGTGTGTGTGTGTGTGTGTGTGTGTGTGTGTGTGTGTGTGTGTGTGTGTGTGTGTGTGTGTGTGTGTGTGTGTGTGTGTGTGTGTGTGTGTGTGTGTGTGTGTGTGTGTGTGTGTCTTTTCAGAGCGCTCTGGACGTGACGGAGACGTTCAAGCAACAGAAGGTGAAGCTGGTCCAGGAGGGTTTTAACCCGGACGTCACTCAGGATCCTCTGTACTTCTTGGACGTCTCCCAGAAGGATTATATTCTCCTGAGCGAGTCGCTGTACGAGGACATTGTCTCAGGAAACATCAGATTATAAATATGTAAACACAGGAATCCTGACGGTCGTCGTCAGAATGCAGAACGATAAGCTAAAGAGAGAGGGAACGTTTCAGAGACGGGTTTCTAACCTTTATTTACCCGTTCTCACAGTTTGCATCTGTTCAGGTTTTTTAATATATAAACTGAACTCTCAGTTTTTATAAGTCAACTTAACCACCAGACTTGGACTAGGACATCCAATTAGCTCGTGTTGACCATCGCCATCTTGATTTTGTTTTGGAGCAGAGATTCAGCATACTACACCTCTTACCTGTTTGACTGGTTGCCGTGGTAGCAACTTGTCAATTGCACCATGCTCCATGCTCCGACTGCCCCACTATTTCATCTTGCTTCATCTCAAAATTAAAAAAAATAACTGAAAATTATTTTTATTTCGTCCTTTGTACTCAATTTTTTTTTTATCACATTTTAAGGAATACTTTGATATGTAGACCATCAATTTTAACAACAATTTTTAAACTTTATTTGTGAAAGGAAAAGTAAGAACTTACTGTAGACGTGTTAACACTGCTGTAAACATAAATCCTTATTAAAAGAAAATATATTTATGTGAACTCAGACTTGTTTTGGACATTTTGTATCAAATAAAAGTTATGTCTAAAATATACTTATTAACTCATGGGTTATATTTTGTGTATAAATAAATCGTCTTGTTTTTCACATTGGAGCCTTAAAAGAACAGAACAATCCTTTGATGATGTTTATGCTGAATTAAATTAAAGATTTAAGGCAGACACTGTGTTGGGTTTTAAGTGGAAATAAGCTAATTTAAAAAAAAATTTAATAAAATGTTTAAAACCAATTAAACTCTTGTTGTGTTTTGTTGACTTTAATTTATATAAGCTGGTAATTGAAACATTGAGTTCAAGAGAGCAGCATCACATCATCATAAACATCAGAGCCGTTTCTGCATATGCATAGGCCCCCCTGCAGCCACTAAGGGGCCCCCAAGCTGCAAGTTCAGCCTCTCCCCAGTATTTGGGGAGAATTCAAATGACTTGTTGTAGCAAGCCGAGCCCCCTCATGTCATGTCTTTAGTGAAGAACTTATATGCTTAAAATGAAATGTAGGATATAAACAAAACTTGCTGTGATTGGGAGGCAGTGGCTTGAGTTTGTGGAGTGATGAAGTCAAAAGCATCAGTGGGCTGTCACAAAAGGAGGGCCTATGACACCTGACATGTGCCCAATTTATTTATTGTAGTTATTTTGGGTCAGTGGGTAGATCATTTTTATGTCAAGTTCTGTTTCATTTGAAGAACTTACTTTGTTTTCAACATAAAAATAAACATATTTAATTTGGAAAATGCTGCATCTGTTGCATATAGAGGAGCATCATTGTTCCCCTTTTATTATCATGTTCTGCAGGTTTAACTGGCTCAGATCAACTTGAGATGTTTAATTTGAATATGAGGGAGGTTTCAGGAATCTGGCCTCTTCTCCTCTTAAAGTGTAACAGACTGCATGCCTTGCCTGTTGACAAGCAGCACCTCTGATGACACAGACATAGGTTGAGCAGCTCTTAGATTCACTTTAATATTTATAATAATAACAATAATAAAACATGTACGGCTGATATTAATAGGCTAGTTGTTGCTCTAAGATTCACTTAATATTTATAATAAATAAATAAATACTAATATTAATAGTTGTAGCAGTTGGACTCGGGAGGGGGTCTCCATAGCAACAGGCCAACTCCACACCATCAGGATTAGATTAGCTCAATAAAACATCGACCAATCACAGCAGCTAGTATCACAAAACGCCAAATATTATCATTTTATTAAGTTATCATTAATATATTTATTGAATTCGTGTTTCTATGGTGACTGATGATGAATTGTGTAACTTTTACGGTCTGTCCGGTCTCTCCCGGTAATGGGAGGAGTGAGTGACGACGGTTGAGCAGACGTGGCAACAGATGACGTCATCAAAGAGCGTCGGCGGTTTGTCCCGAGCTAGTCCAGCTAGCAGGTGAGTAGCGGTGCTATGTTTAGTCTTATTATGAACGCAGGGACTTTTATTATTCCCGGTCAGATGGATATTCTGAAAGATGAGATGAAGAAGAAGATGTGACTTTTTTAATATTCACGTTTTAGTTGGGCTCGAGCTCGGTGTGTTTGTACACGTGTACAGGACTTAGGTGAGCTAACCTCACCTCAAACTAGAACATTTTAACCTAATAAAGAAGCGTGAATGAAAGCTGTGTTTATTAGAGTCACATGTCGAGTTTAAGGTTTCATTCATACAGAACTGTGAGTGAAAGAAGGGAGCAGTGATTGTCAGTCTGTTGTTTGTTTATGAAAGGATCAATCAGTGAGATGTGTAGTGAGTGAAATGATAAAGGTATCTTACTATATGATCAGACATTAAGGAAACATGCTGTGTTGAAGTGCTGGCTTCTCTGACAACAATGCAGCAGCCAGTATGTCCTCTAGATTCTGGTCCTGAATGATCTGGATTTGTTTGGACCAGTGGCGGTTTTAAAGCCAGTGGTTTTGAAAAGTGTTGAACATTTTGACAACCTTAGTGCTGGTGCATTTCCTCCGGGCTGGATTGACCTGCTGTGGAGGATTGAGTAATCTCTAACCCCCCCCCCCCCCCGCTGAACCTCTTCTTCCCCTTCATCTTAAACTGTTTTAACAGATAACGTGATGAAACAGAAAAGCATTCGGCTGCAGAACATCCTGATTGATCTTAATATGTTTTTCCTTTTCAGCTTTGTTCTGGGTTAAAGTGAAGAAATAAATCCAGGAAGATGATGGAAGAGAGTGGAATTGAGACTACGCCTCCTGGGAGCCCTTCACCTCCTCCCTCTGAGGGTGCTGCAGTCAGCAGCCCCCTCATGTCCGCAGGTAGGAAAGGAGGTCAGGACTCTATGAGGTCAGGATACTTCAGTCAGGACTCTGTGAGGTCAGGACTCTGAGGTCAGGACTGTATGAGGTCAGGACTCTATAATGTCCGGACTCTGTGAGGTCAGGACTCTATAATGTCCGGACTTTATAATGTCCGGACTCTGTGAGGTCAGGACTCTGTGAGGTCAGGACTCTATAATGTCCGGACTCTATAATGTCCAGACTTTATAATGTCCGGACTCTGTGAGGTCAGGACTGTATGAGGTCAGGACTCTATAATGTCCGGACTCTATAATGTCAGGACTCTGTTTAGTCAGGACTCTATAATGTCCGGACTCTGTGAGGTCAGGACTCTATAATGTCAGGACTCTGTTTAGTCAGGACTCTATAATGTCCGGACTCTGTGAGGTCAGGACTCTATAATGTCCGGACTCTATGAGGTCAGGACTCTGTAATGTCAGGACTCCATGAGGTCAGGACTCCATGAGGTCAGGACTCCATGAGGTCAGGACTCTGTGAGGTCAGGACTCTTCAGTCAGGTCTCTGTGGGGTCAGGACTATTTGAGGTCAGGAAAGTCCCTTTACCATTTCTGTTTATTTAAAATGTTTTTTTTCTGTTTCAGGTCTGTCCAGTCCTCCATCCCTCCCTGTCACGAGCTCCATCTCCTCCTCTGCCTCCCCCGCCATGCCCTCCCTCCCCACTGGCCCCTCCCTCCCAGCTTTCAGCAGCCCTCTCCCCCCTGGCCCCTCCGTCTCAGCATTCAGCAGCCCTCCCCCCTCCCACTTCCCCCTCCCTCCTCACTCTCCTCCCCGTTCACCAGCAGCTCTCCTTTTCCCGCCTCCTCCTCTGTGCCTCCTCTGGCCTCCTCCTTTGGACCTCCTCCCCCCATGGCCACCGGCATGTCACCCCCCCCTGTGGGCCAGATGATGTCGGGCTTCTCCATGAGCGCAGGATATGACATCACACGGGGACACGCTGGGCGGACCCCACAGACGCCGCTGATGCCGACGTTCTCCAGTCCGACCGCCATGCCAGGTAAGAAAGACCGGTCTCCTTCTGTAGCTCACTTCAGTCAGAGGGACGGGCTCAAGTGGTTTAAACCTGTTTTTAAATGTATGTATGAACATACCCCCTGTGACCCTCCTAACCTGTCTCATCATATCTTCCAGGTGTTGTTTCAAACCCCCTCGTTCAGCAGCCTGTCATGACAGGAGGGATAGAAGCTGGATCTCCCATCACGTTCCCCGAGGAGCAGGAAGATCCCCGAGCATCTGCAGACGCTAACGCAGGAGGAGGAATCTGGGGCTTCTTCAAGGTGACGCACCAACAGATAAAAAAAACACACCTTCATTACATATTTAATAAATCAATGAGCCGCCACCTGCTACAGTCTTTCTTTCCATTTATTTATAAAGTGGTGGCTGCAGCTTTATTGACCCAGTAGCTAACTTTAGCACGCTTCCTGTCTCTTCTCTCAGGGGGTCGCAGGTAACCACGTCGTGAAGTCGGTCCTGGACAAAACCAAACACTCAGTGGAGTCCATGATCACCACGCTGGACCCCGGCATGGCCCCCTACATGCGTGAGTCAGACTGCAGTAGATTGGGAGATTGATGTTGTTTTGCATTATCCTGCTTTATGTCTCACTAAATCACAATGATCGTGTGTGTGTCTGTGTGTGTCTGTGTGTGTCTGTGTGTGTCTGTGTGTGTCTGTGTGTGTCTGTGCGCAGAGTGGTGCATGAAGTTGAGAGAGAGAAGAAGGTACAGATGTAGTGGACTCAAATCCCTTCAAGGCATCACTATGGGGGATCGCAGGGTTCCATCTGTTAGAACACCAGAAAGTTTTTAACACAGTAGATGTTACTTCCTGCTTTCTGAAGCATTCAAACTATACACTTTGAATATTATAGGGCAAAGCCTGAGAGCTGAGGTGGGTTTTAAACCTCCTGACAAACCGTTACACCGCGCCCGTCTGTCAATCAGGTCAGCTACACGCCTTATTGTGAATAACTCTTATCCTTCATCAAATCAAAACTGATGAGTCATCAAAACATTCACCCCCCGTACAGTGTGTGTCGATCGAGACATGAGCTAATCAGACCTATTTGGTTTTTTGAACCAGGCTGTAAACATGTTAATCTCTGCTGTAAAAACAGGCTTTTTAGAATGGGTGTGTATGTGACTTCCTGTGCTTCTGCAGCCAGCCTCTAGTGGACACTTGAGGAACTGCAGGATTTTTACATTCAACTACATTTATCTTAGTTATTAGTACGACTAGACAAACACCTGCATGTGAGGCCTCTAAGCTGTTTTATGGCTTTGACTCTGCTTGACTCTCCACATAAATAAAAATAAGTTCAGCAGGGACTCCAAGAGAGAGCGAAACCACCTGAGAAATGACGTGCTCAACGAGTTCAGGCACAGCTCAGTGCTCTGAAAATGGAGCACAGTCAAGAGACACAATTGGGTTTTTTGAGACGGTAAAAGTGTGTGGGGGGGAGGGGGGAGGGGGGGGGAATTATTGTATAAAATGGGTCCGACGTCTGAGGTTAAAGTCTCTGTGCTGTTTCTCTGCAGGGTCCGGAGGAGACGTGGACATCGTGGTGACCTCAGATAAAGAGATGATCGTAGCGGCGGTCAGAGACGCCTTCCAGGAGGTGTTTGGGATGGCCATGGTGACCGGAGAGCCCGGTCAGTCCAACATCGCCCCCCAGCCTGTGGGATACGCCGCCGGAGTCAAGGTCAGTTCATTGCCGCTTCTCTTACAGGATCTTTACATTTACTCTATCAAAGTCACAGGCGGAGAAGAAGGTCTGTAGACAAACTTTTACAAAACATCAAACTTCTGTTTCATACTCCACCGCCTCGGTTACGCTCACGTATGTGTATGCCTGCAAGCTAACAGGAAGTGCATTCATTCCTTTGGGAATCTCCGTGATATATATACGATGTGCCTACGAATCTCCTCCCGTCCGTAATATTTTGGACAAGAATGTGCGCAAAGTACGTTAAAAAATGTAATTTGTGCCGTGGATTTCCGAGAGAACGTATAACGTCTGCCAGCTTAGCTAACAAGCAGCTAAGGAGCTTACAGGCAGATAACGAGCTAACAGGCAGCTAACGAGCTAACAGGCAGCTAACGAGCTAACAGGCTGCTAGCGCTTACAGCAAGCTAACTTTATTAAAACAGACAACATTAGCCTTGCTGGCTACAAGTAGCATCTAGCAGGTGTCTTTTGGGCAGTAAGGAAATGCACTTCCTTACATTGGACACTAGGAGGCATCATTTGTGTAAAAGGATTTACGGACAGCAGTCACGTACGCAAGTGGAAACGAGACGTGAAGATCTGAACAAAAGGTTGAGAACGTCTTCAGTGTAATGCGAGCTCATTTACCCGTGCATTACAAGTTAAATGGCTCGCCATCTCGTCAGTAAACGAGAGAATGTCAGACTGATGTTTGGATTTTGAAGGCAGTGATTTCCGGTGGAATCGTTTGGAAACTGAGTGCAGACCAGCGGGGGGACGGGGGGGGGGGGGATCGTGCTTCAGCGCAGTATGGAGCCTCTTTGGCCATGTCATGCGCCTTAAGGCTCAGTTTGTTTGCAGGGAGGGTGTTGTGCCTCCCTGTGTCTCTATCACAGCAGCACTGCGGTTATGTGAAGCAGAATCAGGGGGTAAAGTAAAAAAAAAGACCCCTCGCTCTGTTTGTCCTCAGGAGTCGTCCCTCCTGACGCAGCTGCTGTGTGCGGAGCTTTCACAGACGAGGGGAAGTTTTTGGAACATTTAGTGGACAATGAGAAACACAAAGGATGAGATTTATGCCTCATTCAGATGTTTTTTACAGGAGAGGAAGCTTCAAGGACGACCGCTTGGACAATATATGACTCGTTTATTTCCTCACTCCAGACAAAGAAGAGCCAAACAGACACCTCAATAAAAAGAGTTTCACCCTGATAGGTGTGTGTCTGAATACTGAACACCTTTAATGTGTGTATTATCAGAAAGCAGGTCGTTTGTTTTCATGGCAAATAATTTGCATCAAATGATCATTAAGAACTGGAAACTACAGCGCTCCTCTCTGAATAAGAGACACATGAATCCTGTGAACCAGACACGCCTTGTGATTTAAATATTCTCTAACGGTCCTTCGGGTTTAAACTGACCTGAGAGGTTCCAGACTTGTTTCTGGGATGTCACTAAGACGAATGATCAGATGTCCTCTCCTTCAGGATGAAAGCTGTACACAGACAAACCCTTCTTCATGATCTCCCTCCTGATAGGACCGAATCAGAGACACACCCACAACCGCGGCCAATCTCAGCGCCCAGACGATATATGCCTCTGGTAACGACAGCAGATTTCTCTGGCTGAACTCAGCAGTATGGGCTACAAAAAAAGGAAACGTTTCCTTGTGATTTACACGCTTTATTCACACACGGCCATGTGGGGCCCCTGTACTTCTCTTGCTGCATTCAGGTGCTGCTCAGGTGGTCCAAGTTTCCTAGTTTAAAAGTCGTTCTTTTGACTTCGGTGTGTTCACGTGATTTCAGTTCGGAAAGTCGGAATGTTGTAACAACAGCACAAAAGACAGCGTTGATGGTACAAAGAAGAAGATCAGTGAAATGTAACTGTTAAAAGTTATATTTGAGCAAAAAGTTGATGTGCAATACCTGAATTAATTAAAAGTACGTTAACATTAACAAAACATATTTTGCCCCTCATTTGATGACGATTCTGATGTCAAGTCGGGAAGTCAGGCACCTAATTTTTTTCCGAGTTTGTTGTTCCGACTTGAGCAGATGTTCATGTGCATTCTACAACTCGGAAACTCGTTTTTCCGATTTGTACGTCACCACATGAATGCAGCATCTGTCCGTTCAGTATCAGCAGACATTATGATGCTAACTAGGTGCTAAATTAGCATTCTGATACATCTGCAAGTCATGACTGAGTTTTTCCTTTCTTCAAAACATGTCTGAAGGAGAACCTTCCCTGAGTTAGAGTGATTTCTATTTCAGTCACGTACAAGCTGAGTGTGTGTTTTATACACGTGTGTGTGTGTGTGTGTGTGTGTGTGTGTGTGTGTGTTCAGGGGGCTCAGGAGCGCATTGACAGCCTGCGTCGGGCCGGTGTGATCCACGAGAAGCAGCCGGTGGTCTCTCTGGAAAACTTCATCGCTGAGCTGTTTCCTGACAAGTAAGAAGAAAAACAAAAACAAACTGAGAGACACCAGAACTCACACACACACACACACACACACACACACACACACACACACACACACACACACACACACACACACACACACACACACACACACACACACACACCCCAAACTCCTTTCCTTCTATTTTTAACAGATTTTATTTTTCTTCTCACATATTTTTACAACCTAAAAAACTCCATGTTTACTAAGCCTTAGGGAGGTTTCACATCAAGGACCCAGGCCTGGATCTGGGTCCACGTGACTCCAAAGTCCGGTTCATGTCTCTTGTCCATCTATAGTGGGTATTGATAGATGTTTAGAAAGGCGTAGGGTGTGCAGATCATTTTACAGACTCGGTTTTCTCCTCCCTCCCTGCAGGTGGTTCGATTTGGGCTGTCTGATCCTGGAGGACCCGGGTCACAACATCCGCATCGAGGTCTTCACTCAGGCGACTCCTGTGGCTCTGGATCACATCCAACAGGTACAAACTGGTACAGGTGACACATTTAGACCCAGTCCACCCGCTGTGGGGGACATGTTTGAATTCAGGACTCAGGAAGATTTCTCCTCACACTCTCCTGTAAACCCCCCTCCCTCCCTCCCTTCCTTCAGGCCCAGTCCTTGACCCCTCCTGATTACAGCCTGCGCTGGTCGGGTCTGATCGTGACGGTGGGCGAGGTTTTGGAGCGCTGCGTTCCCAACATCAACAGGACGGACTGGCACCAGGCGATGACAGGGATGAGCCAGCGTTACATGATCCAGAGCGCCGCCAAAGCTCTCGCCGGTCTCTACAAACAGCAGCTGCCCCCAGGACTATGTGATGGCTGACGGTCCCAGTTTGTGTCTCATACTGGGAGGAGGAGGAACCAGCTGATTGGACAGTGAGGTTTTCTCGTAGCTCCTCATCCGTCCTCTGAAAAACAAGCTTTTCTTCAGCGACTAAGATCCAACGAGTCGGCAGGATTTCACTGAGAGGAACGACTCAGACGTGACCATCAGCTGATCGTCCTCGTTTAAAGATTATTACTCATCATGGACATTAATCTGAAAAACCTTAACACACGTGTGGAAACATTTTGTTCTCTGTCGTTGCTCAGACGTCTTGGCTTGTGTCCCAGTTGTTTTCTGTGAACTGGAAGCTGCACAGATTCCCTCCCACCTTTTCACAAAATGAAGATGTTCTGAAAATAAAAGATACTTGAACGTGTTTTAATCGGCATAAAATTCAAAATGTGGAAGAGCCGGAAAGCACCAGACAAAGAAACACACAAAATGTTGGCCGTTCTTTATTCCTCTGAATTGATATTTATTGCCGTCTTTAACTTCAGATTGAAGAGTCTCCAGATGCTGATGGTAGTGTTGTAGTACATGAAATCAGTCTTGGACTCAAGAACGTTCTCCAGACCACTTTTTGAAGGTCTGGTCTTGTAATCAAAAGCATTTTGACTCGGTCTTGTCTCGGTCTCAGACTGGGTGGACTCGGGATTTTAAATCAAGACCACCACTGATCGGTTATTTCTCCACGTCGTTACTGTGATTAGAAGAGAATGAACTTCAAGAGATTCATAATTTGCGTTTTATCCCCCGGTTTCAAAGACTGACACGCCCGCTGCACACAAGATGATGATTTGTCTGTGATATTTATGGTCTTGGTCTTGACTCGGTCTCGATCCCTAAATGTCTTGGTCTCGATCTTGGAGCACTCTGGTTTCGGCCATGCAGTGTGTGAGTTTATAACACACAGCTATAAGGCTTCATGTTTAATCAGATATTTAATGAATCTTGTTTTGTGAGACAGAAGAAAGATTGAAAGAACACTTTTCAAACACAGAGCAGCTCAAAGTTGAAATAACAACATTAAGTTTAAACATTAGTCAGGGTTAGTCATTTTCTCCAGATCCGCTTTTTAAGATTCTGGTTAAAATTGTCTTTAGGTCCTGACAGAAATTAATAACTCATGTTCTCTGAAAAAGGAACGAAGAAAATGTCATCTGTATCAGTTGTAAGTCTGTAAAAACTTCGACCAACGTCTGCCACGAGGTACCAATCTGATGAACCAATCACAGCCTCCCTGTCTCCCTGCTCGCTCTCTACACCTTGCGTGCACTAGAATGCTACTTTCAAAATCATGCTAGTTTTCAAAAATGACCAACCCTGCCTTTAATGCTGAACCTTTTAAACCAAACAAAAAAATAAACCTTAAATAACTAACCAGATAAAATAACGCTCCACTCCTCGCCTAGTTGCTTTAATTATTGCCATACTGTGTGTGTTTTTTTTTAAGTAAGCAGGCCACATTCAGCCTTTATAAAGACTAAAGTTGTGCATCATCCCGCACATTCAGCTTTAAATCTTTAAACCATTGACTCAGTTTGCAGCTGGGACACAGTCAGTGGATCACAAGATTTTATTATTTTGTATTTTAGTTTAAAAAAAGAAATCATTGCATCACGTTTGTTGATTCCTGTTTGTTTTATTACTAAATGATTGCCAACTTTTTCTCTTTTTTTTAAACTCGCAGCTTTGAGTTCATGTAGCAGGATGCTAACGGTAGCTTGTTGTTTATGTTTGATTGGAAGGAACTTTTTTTTTTTCTTTCTTTTAGTCTTCTTTAAATGTGCCTTTTTACACAAATAAAATAAATCACTGTCTAATGCTGCTTTCTATCAAGGACACAGAGTTTTGTTTTTGCCAATAAAGGTGAGTCTTTGTCGTACTTCTGGATTTAAAGCTCCAATCAGTGAGATGTGTAGTGTGTGAAATGATAAAGTGATCTTACTATATGATCAGACATTAAGGAAACATGCTATGTTGAAGTGCTGGCTTCTCTGACAACAATGCAGCAGCCAGTATGTCCTCCTTCTAACTTTAGATTCTGCTCCTGAATGATCTGGATTTGTTTGGACCAGAGAAGGTAGGCGGTTTTAAGACACCCCCACACGGCCGTTTTGGACGCCCCTCGGTTTGTCAGATATGAGAGCAGTTATCAGGTCAAACCAACAGCTGTTGCAGTGATGGAAGCGGGCAAGAGAAGTGGTTCAGATAGAAGTGATTGTACTCGACCTAAAAAGCCTCTGCGTGTTTCTAATAAGCTCCACGAGCAGAAACGTGCTCAAACTAGGATCAATATTGGAGATGATTTTGAAAAATGGAGAGAGGTTAGAACACAGGAAGGTTTACAGACCCATGCAGAGCTGGATAAACACTGAAGCTTCAGTGTCCACCACATGGCAACCTGCGTGAGCATCGACTCTAGAGAGGAGGGGGGGGGGGGAGACAGCTCTCTACAATGCTTTGAATTTAGACACCATTTTAAACACTAGGTGTCAGAGTTACATACTGCTCCTTTAAATGAGTCACATGCACACAAAGTTTGACATTTCTACAATAGATGTCTTCATCCTGCAGCAGGTAAACAGTAACGTCTGTGGTGAGCTGACACGACCATGAGATGATTACATCTGAACACACTGCCCGCCTCTCTTGATATTAAACGTGTTTATTCAGCGTTCTCTCTGCGCTGCACTCTTCTGCTCTCGCTGCAGGTCCGTTTAGCTTCAGCTCCAGTTAGGAAATTGATGAGTAAAAAATCTCGTCTGCTGAGCTTTCAATTAAAGCGGAGGAAGGGTATACGGTATTCACATTAATGATTCATGGTGCCTGGGGGCGGAAATCCTTTCTTACCTCTCTCTCTCTCTCTCCTCTGTGTGTGTTTGTGTGTGTGTGTGTGTGAGTCTGACTCAACCTGGCACTGAGAACAAGGTGTGTGTGTGTGTGTGTGTGTAGGCAGACTCTGTACCTGTGAGGCTTCAGACTCATTACCTGCTCTTCTTTAGATTCCTCCTCGCTGTAGGCCGTCGTTTCCCCTGAAGGTTCATGTAGCAGCTGATTACAGTGAAGAGGAGTGCAGAAATCGATGTGTGGAGCATTAATTATTCGGCTCTGTGCTTTTTATCAAAATCAGAGAAAAGTGAAGGAGTCTGAACAGCCAACAGCCTGTTTGTTACTAAAGTTAGTGACTCATTCATGCTCCCCAGAGGATCATCACTGATCCTGCAGAGACTTTTAGGGCTTTCACATTTCAGGAAAAACTCCTGAAGTTGCTGGGCTGAGCTGCATGTGTGAACTCAAACACCCAGAGTTTCTCCTACAGCCTCCTCGTATTTATTCTACAGAAAGTCAGAGTGGGCTAATGTGAGAATGCAGCAGGATGTAATCAACAGCACTCCCCTCGAGGTGGTATGAAAAGGTTATATCAGGAGAAGAAAACTGTATGAAACATCGTTACATCACAACGTCTCCCTGGTCTGTTCCTGAGCCTCGTCTTCCTCTCAGCTGAAAACAGTTTCTCTTTTGAATTAATATTCCTCCTGTGTCCACCCTCTAATCCACAGATTATTCACTTCCATGTCTCTTACTTTTAATAATCCTCCAGAAGAATCCCCGGACATTTTCTGCAGAGTTAAATATCTTGATGCAGAGCTTCGTTAAGGCCTGAGGCTGACAGCTGAACTCTGCAGCGTGGGCATGTTGTTTCTTTCTTAAAGCTGAACTAACACC